ATGGAAAAGCTTCAGGTTTGAAATCTAACTTAGTTATTGACTTGTAGGTGAAAGGCATTTCTTTGGGGAGAAATTGCAACGGCTTTTAGGACCACTGACTACTTTTGATTCGTAATAAGATTTAGAGCACAGAGAGTCTCTAAGTTAAGAGCACAAGTTCAAGATCACAAGCTGACTCATGGACACGAAGCTGTTTTGTATTTTCTGAAAGCACTGTTTTCAAAGTATGTATAGTGTGAGAGCTGTGTCCACTTGTAAAGAAAAGGAACAGTTTTTCCTGTAGCCTCAGCGAGCCTTAGTGCCTAAGGCTGGTGAGAATTAGCCAGACTTACACCAAAAATGCTGCAAGGCTTGTTGTTGATCTTGACAACTCATCTACAGAGGGCTTCATTACTTGTTCTCATCTCTATTCTGGAGCAATAAAAACAGGCAGGGTTTTTGTTTCATTGTCACTGTAGTAGTTCTTCATTCCTCAAATTCACTGTCTAGCCACCAAAGAGAAGAATTCTGTTTATCAATACACCTAGTAATTAGTTGGAGTCATTCACTGTTGAATGAGCTGTATTTTTGCACTTCTTATTTTCCTTTTTGGTTTGCAAGATTGCTACAACAGATGTTAGCACTATCACTTTTTTTTTTTTTTGGAGATTATTTAGAGGTGGCCAAGAGTGAACAGAGCTGTACTTCTTACCTATTCAAATTCAGAAATTGGCCTATAGTCCTAAATTTTCCCTTTGCATTTTGTCAGGGCTTTTATAAACTAAATAGGAGAATTGGAGCTTTAGTGTTTCCAGAGTTTGTTAACATTTTATTTTTATGGATTCAGACATGTTGCACTTGCATTTCAAGCCAGAGTTATAGTCTTACTTCTTGCAGGGAAAGACTTGACAGAAAAGCAGATGCAGTTGCATTACTGGTTTCATTGCTGGTGTTAAATCAATGTATAGATATCTACTTGCTGCAGTTAATATTGTTGGGAGGAAGCTGAAGTGGAAGCAAAGAGCTAACTTGAGTCAGTTAAAACACATTGCTGACAAGGTTGTTCCTAACAATATTGCTGAGTTACATATGTACAGCATTGTATGTTGAGCTTCTGGCTTGTGCCTCCCATAATGTACTGTTTCCTAACTTAATTTTTTTTTTTTTAAAGGTACTAAATTTATAAGTTGAGGTTGGGATATTTTGGTTTTTAATCAGTGTTTCAGATTATAATAACCTGCTTTGTTTTACTGCAGCTTTAACAAAATCTATCTGCCTGGACTGAGCTGTCCAAACCTAATCTCAAGCAGATTTATTTTTTGAGACATTTAGCCAAAATAGGTCATTCGCATCCAAGGTCTGATTAAAAAAGAAACCACCCAAAAAAGCCTTCAAAAACCCCCAAATGCCCAATGAACAACCACAAACCCCAAACCAAGACTCCACAGAATTGAGGAAAAGCTACCTAAAGCTATGAATGGATTTGGCCTTTAGTTCTTCCTTTGAAATCTGCTCATATTTAGCAAAACAATCCATCTGTGAAAAATTGCAGTGCATTTATGCTTAGTGGTGATGACTTCTGTGTTCAGCTGTTAAATTCCCCACAGGCTCTGTTGAGCATCTTGGAAAATTTCTCCCCTAAGTGCAGCTTCCAGCAGGAGCAGGATGCACTGGATCTGCTTAAGGGACAGGAGGGCAGCAATGCAGGAGGCTGCTCCCCCTGCCAAAGGGGCTGTAGGGCAAGAGTCGGGGTGGGATGGGATAGGAGATACTATGAGAAATGGGAGGGAAAATGCTAATCGAGTTACAGTGTAACTGAAGCTGGGTAGGAGGAAGGGGTCAAACAGCACTGGAAAAGGACTGCCTCCTGTTGGGAAGGTAAGGGCTGGGCAGTACAGCCAAGAGGAAGAACTGAAGCAGCATAGATGAGAAGCTGCCCTGCTGCAGGTGTGCATGTGCATCTTGGGGCACTTGGGCACTGCCTTGGAAAGCTGGTCTCTACCTGGTTCATTCCTGTTGGGATTCTGAGGATGCCAGGCAAGGAAATGATGCAGTTTCTCACGCATCATCCCTCACGGGATATTTTCATTATTCTGAATACACAGCTTAACAGTGAGGCTTGCGAGCCATACGAAGTATTCACAAATGCTGCTGAAGTCCCTCAGACCTGAGCCTCATAAATAAAAGGATGTAACAATATGAACAGAAGAAATCATTGACATCTTAAATTGTCAATAAACACATTAACAATGAACTATTCAACTGCTAAAATCAACAAGATCGAAGCCCATAGCATGTTCCAAGAGTAGTCACTTATCTATAAGGTCAATATTAAATCACAGGAGCCATAATTGCTCTATGATAATTTCAGGTTTGGCAAAATATAAAAGATGCATACTGCATAAAATTTACATTAATTAAATTTGTCTGAGTGTCAAGATGGGATGCTGGTTGGAGTAGATGCTTTTTGGAATTCGTACTACTTATTTTCTTTAATTTTGTTTTCATTGATTCCCAGAATAAAAAATTCCATTACTTTTGTGCTGCCTTTGTGCAGTTAATACCAGGCAGCCAATGATGTTACTCGTGGGGGTAAATGAATTTACATTAGCTTTACTTTATCTATCATGAGTAAAAACAAGCCTGCAGGTATTGTATTTGGACTTTGGTGTAGACTGGGAATATGTTTTGTTCCCTATCAACTGCAAAATCCACACTGCTGCATCTCTGCAGCTGTTGCTATATGAACTGGCCCAATTAAAGCAGTGAATGTTTAGCTACAGGGTATATGGAAGTTAATTGGAAGTCTCTGAATGGTTTAAGAGCCTCATGCAAGGATATGCTATTGATAGTTCACATGAGCAGTGAACTATCACTTGGTGCCTGAATGTCACGAGTTAAAAGTCAGAGGGCAAAAGGTTGGTCTCTGTTAAAGCCAGTGCAAGTTTTGCCATTGACTTCAACAAACAGAGGATTTCTCCCTTAATTCTGTAACTTTGTTTAGGGGGGCAGTTGTGTTGTACTTTTAATTCTTGTGGCTTCACCAAGAGTCTGTATTTCAAAAGCTTTTAGATTTTTTATTTAGTCTGATAGTGTTTTGTGGGAAACTAAATTGAAAGTGTATTTAAGGGCCCCAGGGACCTGCTCTGGTGAACTGCATCAGGAGAAGCTGAACATCTGCTTGGTGCCTGGACACAGCTTTAGCAGAGCTCCTAATCATTCAAAAGAAATTGCAGAAAATCTGTTTGCTTTTACATTTCAGACCTCATCACTCAAACTTTAAGTTTTAATGTCCTTACATACAAATTTTTTAAAAAAGTAAAAAAAAAACTCAATACAAAATTATTTACCACCAAAGCATAAAATATATAAAAGAGGAAGGGAAAGAAAATCAAGCGGTTTTGCAATTTTAGGGTGGTTTTACACAAAGGAAAATTCAAAACTGATCTCTGGAATATAACAAAAACGTGCATCATACTAACATGAATCTGTTTTAACAGTGATTGTGTTTCTTAACAAACACCTGATTTATCAGTTCTATTTCACATGTGAAATGAAATGGACTTTAAAGTAAATAGATCTTTTTAATTTCAATTAACAATATTTTGCTATAAGGAAAATGTACAGAATTTTGTGGAAATCCATGTACTATGTTTACTCAAATACAGAAAATACTTTGCTGCAAACTTTTAAATATAATAAAATGCATTTAATAGCAATCTTTTGTGGTATCATTGTTTATGAACATAACATTCAAAATATGGAAATTCAGTTGTGGATCAAAATGACCATAAAAACAGTAACCCAAAGAACCTTATAAACATGTCAACAGCCATCATTTATCTTAGATGGCTCATACCAATGTAAAAAATATATAAAATGTAGAATAATTCTCAACATATGGTTTACTTTGTTGTATTGTTCCTACATATTATTTGTGTTAAAATCCAGAAAATTATATTATGAAGAGAATATTGGGGTTTGTTTATTAAACTAAAATACAGGTTAAAGTCATTCTTCTCTTGTGATGAACATATACCAACAGTGATTAAAAAATAAACATTTATTTACAAAATATTGATGCATACATATTACACAAGTCTGTTATATCAAAGTGGTTTTTAAACAATATCTGTAGCAACCAACTATTTGCATTGGTTTACCATAGTGCAAACGGTAATGTTGCAAAGGCAGGTTAAAATGTGGGATTGCAATTTGGATGTTAGATTTCTCTACTGCCTTCTGTTTTTCTATGTCTAGAAAGCTCTTCCTTTTCATTTAAAAAATATCTATTTCTTGCGAATGTTGAATAGTGTACCTGAGGATAGGGCAAATTCGTTATTAAGCCTAAATTCTTTCACTTATATAACTATCTTTCTATTTTCTCAGCCTGCTTACGTAGCACCATTGCCATTGATTACTAACATACTAATGAGAAAAAGGAATGGAAACACACTAAATACACTATGCCATCCCTAATTTCAGGGTTTGTCCGTTTATGTGGAATTTTGTCTGATACATTTCACAAGTCTGCACTATATATTCAAGTGTTTAAGGATGATTTTGGTGGTATTGTGTAGTGGCATATATGTTACCAGTATATATGTTCCTGTAAATATGATATTAAGTGAAGCTGTGAAGAAAGGAACCTAAAAGCCTGCTCCTTCTGTCCTCAGGTGAGAAGGAGCTTGCTTTTGATTGCCAATGTGTACTGAAACCTGCATATTAATTTGCATCCAAATGACTGAATATTGGTTCCCTCATAATGTAAGAACTTAGTGGATTAAATCCCATGATTTTGATTGTAGCTTTTCTCTTTTGCTGGCTCACAAGCAGCCATCAGGTAATTACACTGTCCTTTAGTTCATGTTCTGTAACTGCTGCTGGTAGCACACAGGAGGTCGGCAATGCCTTGTGTACGTAACTTCACAGTTTGAAACACTGGTGAGGGAGTAGAACTTCTTCTATTTTTCTCCTTTTTTTTTCTTTTTTTTAAATTTTTTTCTTTTTTTTTTTTTTTTTTTTTGGTAGCTTCCATGATGTGTGAAGCGGTGGATCCGACGAGGATCTCATGAGCACCCGCAGCGATCTACAACCATGGCTGGTATCTTGCCGTAGATGATTTGTTCTTTGCCGTTGAAGTACAGCATGTTGATGGGGGACATCTTGGTGGGCGTGCAGCAAGGGCCTGCCGAGCCTCTGGGGTTGGCTTGGTGCACCAGGTGGGTGTGAGGGTACTTTTGTAAAAACACAAATTCACATTCTCCGGAGCAATAATTCGCTTTGTATCTTTTAGGAGCGATAATCCAATCCCACCCGAAAGCTTCGAAATCCACTGTCAGCGGGTAGCGGCAACATCGGGATTCTGTCGAGTGCTCGTCACAGTCGAGACCAAAATCTCTGCGGGACCTTTTTGGTGTGTCTGTAACTCTGACCTCTAGAAATGGGTTCTGTGTGAAGAGGAGAAGGAATTGGAATCATTTCTGAGGTAAGCCCAAGTTCACTCAAAACATGCAAACAAAATTTCAGATGTAGATGTATCAAATTAATATTCTGAAATGAAGTTTGCAAGCAAAATTTGACCTGCAATTCTCTTAGTTATCTCTGCATTTCCCCGCTGTTTCTCTATACAAAGTTTTAATACCTGAGTATTTGTCCCTGAAATCACCATTGTCTCAGTGCTAACATTCTTTAACAGCTATAAGAACATTTCAGAAATTTGGAGGATGCTGGATTTTTACTTTTGATGTGGATTTTTTTTTTTTTTTACTTTGTTTTAAACTCCATAATAAGAGCTTTTGTGACTCCTTCTGAAATTCCCATCATTAAAATAATATGGAATCAGACTTTCTGGATATCAAGGAAAGTGTATTGTCCAGACCAAGGAGGACGAAAGTTGCTCCTCTGTTGCTGCTTGCTTGAATGACTCTATGACTGAATGAATTTGGAGGACCAGCTAAATATTTTGACTCCTGGAAGAGTCCTGTGGCCAGGAATGCACTTTTGGCAGATCCCTGAGGCACATGCCTCCTATGGAAGGTGTATTTCCGCAGTCACTAACTGAGACTAGAAGAAAATTGCAACCTCCACAATTGCAACTTTGAAAAAGTTCCTAAAGTTGCTGCCTTCCACACACTGATTTCTTCCCCATGTGCTGATTTGGCACTGGTGGGGCCATCCCATGGAGCCTATTCCTCAGGAATAACAGCCTAGATAACTTTGTTACAGAGATTTCCCTCTCCCCAGATACCTGCAAGATGTGGAGCTGCTGGAAGTGCCCTTTCTAAAGGTAAATTATATAGGGAGGTGTTTGGTAAGAGGAGCACACCTGTACTGGGAGGGGAGCTGCTGGAGAGGAGATGGGGGAAAGATAGATTTCCTCTCCCATTTTCTGTGCCTCTAACCTGGCTCTGCCATTGAAAAGTTTATTTATAGGTGATGATAGCCATGGGTTATTTGTATGTATCATCATTTGAATGGATGGAAGTGGTGAGGCCATTCCTGATCATGCTATCCAGCTTGCCTGTTTCAAATACAAGAGATCCACATTATATTGGATATGCAATTAAGATATCACAGAGTTTTTCTTCTCAGCCCTTTTAAATTATATTACACTGCTGTGAAGTTAAACCAAATTTACTGCATAAATATGATTGGACACAATGGTCTTCTCCAATCTAAATATTTCTATGTTTCTGTGACCAACAGATTCATCTGCTACATAGAAGTAAAAGTAGAATAATATTCTTCATACTTTATTCAAAAGAAGGTATCATTGGTTGTGATAAGTTCAGAAATTTGTATAGGTTGTAGATGATTAGTGATTTACAGAAACAAACAGCAGGGGAAATGCTGTAGTTTCACTTTAGATGTACTTGTAGGTACATTTTGGATTTAATTTGTTCATCTAGTCTTATGAAAAAAACCCCAGATAGTTATTTTGTGCACTTCCTTATCATCATGACTCAATTATTGTATCTAGCAGAATTTCTCTATTCAGACGCTTCTAATAGGTAGAATGATGCACTCTACCAAATACTGAAAGGTAAAGTACTTAACATTATGAAGATCTGTTCTCACCTTCATAACGAGAAAACTTTTGTTGTTGTTAATAGAAAATATATGCATAGAGTGTATGTAGGAGCTCCCTTGCCTTCTCAGCAATATTGGAGGCATCTTTCCTAACCAGTAAAAGAATCTAAAGACTGTTGTTTAACTTTATGTGAAATAGATGCTTATTAACTAGTATTTGCTCTCAAAATTGAGAACAATGTTACTTTGATAGTATCATCCATCATTAATTGCCAAAACCTCTTCTTGTTAATGCCTTGCAATGTCTCTTTGAAATACTTCAATTTCTCTCAATTTTTTAGATAGGGAAATGGAAGCAGAGGAAAGCTATTGATTTTTGACATGTTCAGAGAGCAAAGAATGAAAGAATTGGATCTACAGAACCTTTGTCTTCCATTCCCTAAACAGTGCATCAATTTTATCCTTAAAATACGAGAAAATGACCTTAAAAAAAATCTAAATGCTTTTCAATGAAATGTGGTTTTTCTACATAGACTTACCAATCCATCTTCACCCGGTCCTGGGAAAGTTACAGCAAGATTCCGTCCGTTCTCATCAAAAGCTTTTATTTCGATGCCTAAATTGGATTCAGGCTGTTTGAGCCAATTTTGCAACACTGTCTTCACATCAATACTCTGCCAAATACCGGTGCCTGGGTTCATGTCAAGTTTCAAAGATCGAATTCCAGTATATCTTGTACCATCTTTCATGGGCTTAATAAGTCTCAGGATCTGCACAAACACCGTTGTAGGTTTTTGGACTTGCCTCAAGTATATCCACAATTGTGCTTTTACTACTTTGTTATATTGTATCTTAGAGCTAAACTTAAAGAAGCAACATTTTGGTTTTCCCTCCATTTGTACAAGAAAATCAGCTATAAATGAATGGAAAGAACAGATTACTGAACAGGGAACAAGAAAAAATGCGTATATAAACCTGGCTATTTTTTTCAGACTGTGTAAAATATATTACAGTACATTATAAAGAGTACCAGTAACAAAGTAGATTTAACTTAATTCCTTTTCTGTGGTTTACACTCTACAGCAACTTTAGTGGATGTCAACAAAATTACTCTTTCACCTACTATCAGTTCACTTCTGCTGGTCACCTCCCGAGGACCTTCATAAAGCATGCAGAATAGCAACTTTGCATAAACTGACTCAACACTTGTGTGGTGATCCAGCTATTTCTAATTTACTCCAAAGCCTCAGCTTGCTGCAGAACATACAGCTCTGGGCAAACTGCACAAACTCTTACATTTCTTTTCTCAGTGGGAAGAAAATAATTGAGGGGATTAATATAAGGATCATTTTGTTTTCATTTGAATAATATTAGAGGAAAGTCACATGCAGTGCTGCGTTCCTCCTTCCTGTAGCCTACGATGCAGCTGTCATACCTAGTCATGGCAATATCTTTCCATGCCAGGATAAAATGGGTAGTACTAATCCTAAATGGTGCAGGACTTTCATAAATCTCATCACTTAAGATACCTGTCTCTTTAGTGCATTTAAAATAGCTCAAGTTCTTTTTATAAGAAGTAGGAAATGAACTCGGAGCAATGAAATACAACTACTTTTCTTGTCACTGTAAATATGTAGCAGTTTGATTAAAAATAGTTATAAAGCCTTGAACATAAAAGTCTGGAATAAAAATCAGGCAGACCTCAGCTTTGTTATAAGGCTGCAGTAAAATAATGCTATTAAGTGCTCATCTTAATAATTACTAAGTTGAAAAATATACTTTTTCATTTGTGGGTTCATTTTTAGCTGGTGAGAGCAGCTGATATTATTCTAGTCTGCATATCATAATGATATCTATAACTGCTAACATGCCTTATATGTCCTGTCATAGTTTTCCTTTTTGACATCATATTCGTAAGTGTTATTTAAAAAAACAGCTGCCATAGTCAAATACTTTAGCTGATGAAGAACATAAGATACTACAGTATTAGCTGTGCAAAAGATACTTGATAGGAGGCATAGCAGATGTTTAGCACTCGGAAGATAACTCAGAATCTGCTCATTCAGTAAATGCCTTCATTCTTCCTTGGCACGATTACATGAGCTGATTGCTATAGCACGGACATTTTTACATTTAATCTGTTACACACATATTTGCTTTAAATATATAGTTTTAACTCTGAGGTGGGTGGTGCTAGTTTATGGGATCAGCAAAGAGGCAAGAATTTAACTCTCTGCTTGCACTTGCTGTAGCATGTTGCAGTTAGATAGGTGTAGTGCTCTAAGCTGCATTTCTGTTGATTTTTATTGCTTCTAAAAATACTGGCCAGTGAAACCTCTCTCAAAATTATAGTTCTCTCATTATCTGCACTTGTACTTTATATTTGCTAGAGGAAATGCCCCGAGTGCTGCAGATAACGAAGCTGACTGAACTGCAGATCTCCCTTTGCTTTCTAAGGCAATGGGCAAATCCTAAGTGCTACAGGGCACACACATTATAAGGAGCCGAAAACTGAACAGTAAAACAAAGGATCGCCACACGGTCATCTGAACCTGGCTCAAATTCTTTAGAAATAAAGCTCTCCTCCCTCCCTCCAGCAGACTTCAGCCAGCAGTCTGTTGGGAGAGCCTGAGGAAGAGTTGTGTGGCTCTGCAGCAGGGAGACAACTCTCTCAGAGGGGCAGTGGGAGGCGAAAGAAGCAGGGTTTACTTACACTCTGTAGGCATTGTGATAATCGTTTCGGTGGTGGCATGATAGTCATCATCTTCCAAAGAGCCATCGCTACTGTCATCTCTCTGCACATCATACTGATCAATCAGTTCCTGCAGTGGAGGAGCCTTGGGTAAAAGTTGTTTAATAACATCCCTGCTAATGTTAGGAGCTTGTTCCAGACGCAGTTTGCTGAGGATCTGAATTTTTATGGCTTCTATTCTGGAAGATTTTGTATTCTGTCTCCATGTACAAGCATTGCACAGTCCGTCCTTTTCAGCGTTCTCTGTGGGCTGACTGCTGTCATCAAGAGCCACCGGATCAACCGAAATCAGCATGAACAGGTAAATAGAAGCATAGAGCACTAGCTTTTGCATGATCTCACATTCAGTGCAGCACTTTTCCCTTCTTTTTTTTCCCCCTCCCCCTTTCCCTTTCAGTACTAAACAGATCCGTGCAAGCAAATGCAATCTGAGAGACAGCTTGCCACAGTGGTGTACCTTATATATTCCAAGGGGGCTTTTTATACTCCAACTTTGATTAGGCTCATGTCGTCAAACCCGACGATTGGTTGCTGTCCCAACAATGAATGTGGCTGTCAGAGGGTAAAGCCCTGTCGATCACAAGTCACTAGACAGCGTTTAGTTACAGCCAAGGGTGAACTGATTTATCTGGGTACTTCACAGAGGATATGCCTTCACATTCTGAAAGGATATATTTCCAAGTATTGTGGGCAGCAGTACTGAAAGACAGCACTGTCATTCTTAAATATTATACCAACTGTGTGCTTGTACTATGAATCAAGAGAAACCTTGCTCTAAACTTGCTTTAGGCTTCTACCAATCTTTCTGACTTGAAAGTTTGTTCTATTTAAAAGAAAATCCTGAGGGGTTACTTTTTGCAGGCAGGAAAATTATACTTTAGAAATGGATTGCAATGAGTACTGATTTTTATTGTTCAACAACTGATAGATATTTAGCAGTTCCTATTTCAGAAAACCTTACTCTGTTTTCCTAGACATAAGCTAAAGCAGTATTGGAGGTTTTGTGCATATGTGACATTATGCAAATGCCTGTCTTATTTGTTTTCCCCTTTAGAATACACCAAAATCCACAGAAAAAATCCTTTACTGAATTAATAGTCAGTAATGAAAAACGATTCTGTCCCCTCTTCGTGCTGTCACCAGAATACTGGGCAGTAAATTATCTTTAGTAGCAAAGGTTTTTAAAATAATATCTTTAGTTACTCACTCTAATATTACACAGGAATAATTTAACTTACTTTTTCCATTATTAGTCAAAGCATTAAAAGACTTAAAATATTTAAATCTCTACTGTGTATTTATCTTTATTTTCCATATAACCTTTTATTTCTCTTCAAAATATCTCTGCATTATGCCAACTTAAGTGGCATCTCTGCACTTTATTACTTTGTACTCACTTAGAAATTATCTTATGTCCTGCTTATATGTTAAAAAATGCAGTTTTAATATGCTTTCTGCATAAGAGAGATACATCTCTGTGTGATTGCGTAGGTTATGGCTTATAAAATCTTACATTTGATCTTAAAATCAAATGCAGTTCACATTTGATGAGCTGTTAGCAGTAATTATGGAACACACAGTGAGGGGGGAGAGGGGGTTACTGCTCAACACGTGTCACAGCAAACAGAAACCCTGGAATTGCTATGTATTGTATATATTTGAATATTTGGAATCGGTGTATTACAGCAAAGGGAAATCTTAGAATTTCATGCAATATGCCAAAGTTTGCCTAAGTTAGGACTGAATTTTCAGTTTTTCATGGAGTTTCTTTTTTTTTTTCCCATTCTAAGTACACCTAAAAATATGTCAGACAAGGGGTTTTGCATGTGTTCATGTAGGAAAAATGTTGGTATAAGAAAAGATGTGAACAGAACTCTCAAATTATTTTTTTTTTCTGCGTAGTCATTCATATTCTTTTTGTATTGCCTCTCCAGGGTATGCAAATTCACTGTATACCACAGAACTAAGCCTAATATTCAGTTCATAACCAGTGACATAAATCACAATTATTCAATTGGAATTGGTTGTCCTGCCCTGATGTAAAGTTGATGCAGGTGATAGATGTATCATACTCACACATTCCAGGCATATAGCTTTAGGGTCAGACCCTGATATTCTGATTTTAGCCAAAACCCATGTTTAAAGCAAGGAGATTGCTGCCTTAGCTCCTGGGCATTTGATTTTTACACAGAGATGTGTAAACTGCAGCTACTTCCAGCATCTGGTAACACAAATGGGCCATGGTTCACTGGAACAAGAAATCAGGAGTTTTCAGGGCAGACTGCCTGCCATGCCTGTAACATCTTTAAAACAGACTCTGAGTGCATTTCAAGTGCTAGAAATGTGTTTTTGTGGAACATGCATAGGATGATTCAGAGTAAGAATATTTCTGAAAAGCGCTGACCTGTTAGTGAATTTTGGGGGGATTTAAGTTGGGGGATGTTTACTATTTCTATGGTTGATGTCATAATAAAATTATTTTTAATTATTCTTTATTTTAAACCAAACTTTACCATATGGCTATAGAAAGGACTCTATCCCAAGTGGAAAGTTTGACAGCTACCAGGTTTCACACCAGAAACAGTTTAAGATAATGATCCATCAATAATGATAGAAATAATGATGCAGTCATTGATATGAAAGTAATTCAGTGTTCTGGAAAACCATGGCTAAAAGCCACTCATGAGGGAGAGGGGCAAGAGAGGTGCTCAGCAAAGCAGTGCCTCAGCACTGTAATCCTCTTGGGCTGTGCTCTGCAGCCTCACTGGGACCTCACCTGCTTCTTCTCCTGCCACTCCTCCTGCTCTGGCTGGCCAGCAAGAACATGCAGAGCTTCAAGGTTCTTTTCCCAGTCTTCTGCAGAGAGTCCGTTAATCTGCAAGCAAGAGTCCCTTTGCTCCTTTTTGTGCAGTATTTAGTTATGGCTGCAGGGCCAAAACCCCAAGGAGCTCAGAGCAAGGGTTCAGGTGACATGTGGTGGCAAACAGACCCTGCTGAGCACCGGTGTTTAGGAGGCAGCAATAGCAGCTGGAGTGATGACACAGGGACTGGAGGTGACAAAAGCACCCCAGAATTCACCAGCAGCTGCACAAGAGAGACCAATATTTTCATTTCCCTCGTAAAATGCGTTTCATAGGTACTGTGAATAACTCTAGGCTGTTGGTAGAATACCTTTCATCTTTTCTGGTTGCTGACTTATCCTTATTTTTATCTGGAATTGCAAGAATTTAGGAAAGAGCACAAAGAGTTGCACTTGATCAGGACCTATTGAAGGATCTAATTTATTTGATAATAATAATAGAATATGTGATTTATTTTTCTATTTGATTTGCATTATAGTGATTTTGGAAAAACTGGGATGACTACAAGCGATGAAGAGTGATGACTACAGAAGTAGGTGATAGAAGAGGGAAAAAATAAGTGATGAAGAGACCAGGTAAAAGTTGTTCTAAAATTTATCAGGCAAAAAAATATTTTTAAAAAGCCCAACAACAACAAACCCCCTAACACATTATCACTAGCAAAACTAAAGAAGAGTTAAATATGAAATGCACATCTTACTGAACTTTATGGCATTTTAATATTATCTTTGGGATTTGTGTCATTCTACCCGTTGTGCCTGCCAATAGCGAATAGTATTCCCAATCCTGACTATGCGAAGATCATGGCTCAGGCCCCCAAAATCAAGCACTGCAAGAATGTTCCTTTGTAAAGGAAAAAGGCATACATCTGTCTACCTGGCAACTTCTCCTCTACTTTCCCCCTTCCACCATGAGCTTTTGGAAAACCTTAAGAAAAAAGTTGAAAAAAAGGGAAAAGAAACCAAACCCACCCCTACAAATTTGATAAAGAGGTTTCAAAGACATGCTGTAACTGCAAGTTATGTGGAAAAACAGTGACTGTGCAGAGGAAAAGGAGATTAGTAATGCCCTCCCTGAGGAGAAGGCAAGCAGAGCCCAAGCATTACCCATCCTTTTTGGCAGGCTCTCGTTAGGCAGAGAGCTCGTGCTCCCCCGGCCGCGCTCAGCTCGCCGCTCGCTGCAGCATCCGCAGCCTGTCACCCCTGCCCGGCCAGCAGCGCCCAGGGACAGCCAGCTGAGAGCTCAGCTCCTTCTGGGGGAGGACCAACAGACATGGAAGGCAACCAGGACATTTCTGAGAAAAGGGAGAGTTACAGGAGTATGAAGGAGCTGCTTTCCTGGCAGGGGAGGAAAGGGATATGGGTTATAACCCTACCAGTAACTGGATGACTTCATCCTGCTGTGGGCTACATTTTCAAACACTGCCTTACAGCCTGCAGGACCAGAAATTCACTTTTCTTTATTCTGTTGTTTAAGTTAAATGAAATAGTTCTCATAATTGATTCATCTCAGGAGGCAGAACTGGAAGAAACAAAGCAGGTGTTGCAAAATGCACTGTAAATCTGTGATTGCTATTTACGTTGATGTCAAGTGCTACCTCTGAACCAGTTGGCTTCTCTCCCTGATTTGCTTATACAGAAAACATTCTTCCTGAGCTGCTGAGGAAGGTACTAATTGAGTAAGCTTTTCTCTCACTTTTGTCAGCACAAAACCTAAATTCAAGAATAGCAAAATGAAATGTATACAAAAGTCCATTTAAAATCTTTTTGCACTAGACTCATTTCTCTCTTTGCCTCTATAACCGGAAATAATGATTGTGCAGTTATTTTGTTTGGAATAGTTAAATTTGAATAGAAAAATTCAGACATATCATAAAATGTATTGAAGTCAGAGTGTTTCAAGTGCTTAATTATGAGTCCAGCTTACCAGGTGCTTTCTCATAGCCATCTGAATCACAAGATAAATGTATTACTTTGAACCATAATACAGATATAAGACCATACCTATAAAACACCTAGAAAGAACTCTTGCAATAACAAAATGCCTATGGAAACACTATCCCAATTACATTATGTAAATGTAAGGCAAACACAGCCACTTTTAAACTTATTACCATGAACTAAAATAGGAAAGCTGTAACTCATGTGAGTTCTTGCTCTGGAACAAATGGCCTGAAAGAGTTTGTCCTTTGCTATGCTTCTTTTTTTCCCTTAAAATGTAGTCATATATAATCTTCTAAACATTCTGCTGTATCAGCTACTGGAAGTCAACTTCATGGATGTTGATGGTATGAATATTTAACTCCCTCAACCTACCAATAAAGAAATCCACATCGGTTTTACCAGTTCTGAGTTCTAGATATCCTATTTCACACAGGAGAAGAGCAGGTGTGGCTCAGAGTATGGATGCCTTGGTACACTGGCATCTGGATGGGGTATCCTGCAATTCTTTCTCAACCCCTGCTGGCAGGTGGCTTTCCCATGAAGACCAAGATGTTCAGCAATTTGGGGTTTTGAGTGTTCTCCCCTGAGGTATACTTGGGTCTGTGGTTTGAATACCGGGACAAAATGGCAGATTATTTCCTCCACTCAGAAGCTGGGAGT